GATGATTGAATTAAATACAACCCCACTAAGCGAAATTAAAAATGTACTGCTATAAAAAAAATCACCTTGTCCAATGAGCAGGCAGGTGACTCAGGAATCTGTAAAATTAAAAAGCAGTGTTACTTTTCTGATTGTCTACAAGAAGTATGTGCATCACAAGACTAGCTGAAAGTTACCAATCCTTTATGTTTCGTTGTGTGGCTGGCGTTATGCTTTAACTAAGCTGAATAGATCTTTATATCTACAATATTATTATTATTATTATTATTATTATTATATGCCTTACAGGAATAAATATTGCTGTACAAAGGGTACAAGTCAGTGTAGCAACCCAGTCTCTCTAATGAGGCGAAGCATTTACAATGTCACTTTCAGACAAACATCATGTGATATAGACTGGCTAAGTCAGTAATGGTGAACGTGGTGAATATATGGGGCCTCAAGTATGGCCCCAGATATGCCCAGGGGACCATACAATGGTTTAGTTTTCTTACATTTTTGCTGTGTTAATATGCAGCGAATCTTTGACACAACTGTGCATGGTAACCTGTACACCACTGTGCATGTGTCATGTTGCCATTCATTTTAAAAGACACCCCAATTCACTGTTACAGTAGTGGACATCACACCCCCACTGCACATCCTATGCATTGCAGTGAACTGCAGTGAAAATCTTATCTGATTTTAATGTGTTAAGGTGCACTACAATTCTGAATGACATTATATTTGGATAAGCAAGTAAATGCAATTATCAATGTGGGGTGACCCTGGGGTAAATGGGGAGAGGGCTTGTTTTTATGGGGGTTGCTGGATCTGAGGGTTGCTGAATCTGGTCGTTGGAGACCTGATTCATCCCCCATGCAGCTCTGCAGCATCAGATCACTGCAATCAGCCAGCTAGATCCCCATAGTACCTCCATTTTAACAGGATGTGTAGTGATGTCCTATGGAGCACTCAGCAGCAGAAACAGAAGCCCAGGATCTACTGGATTCAGCTAGAACCCTAGACTAAGGCCTGGGCTGCGGCTGTCACTGACAGCTAGTTCTTCCGGGGCTAAAGCCTGCCAGAGCCTCTGTCACTTTAGTGTGCAGCCCTCCATGCTCCTGATTAGAGGTCTCAAACACAGCAGTCTGCACACTGAGCACTGGCGGTTGCAAGAGGCAAACTGGCTGCTTTTTGGCCACCAAGGGCCTAAGGTTTAGGCCACATGAGGAAGTCCGGAAACAGACATACTTTTTTACTCCAAATAATATTGTCAATGTCATTAAAGTGGCATGTGAAATTTAATGACGAATTAAGGAGACTGTTCTGCTATTGATGATCAGTGTTCAATGTCCTGTTGGCCATTGTAGAATATTGTATTTGAGACCAAATACAGCAGAGGCAGGCGGCTGCACTGAGCTGTTGAGCTCTCTGGAATAACCCAACAAATTGTGGAAATAATTCACTTCCATACATTCCGGACCCTAATCAGAGTGCATGTCGGCAATAATCACGGTGCCATAATAAATCTTTGTGGGTGATTTAGTGAAGTGAAATTAAATTTGTGCAGCAGGAGGTTTAAAAAAAGGAAGGATTTTCTCCACAAGTAAAAGTAGTTATAGCAAACACAGAAGCACATGGTCACTTCACCATGCAGGGAAAGCACTGCAGAGATGAGGTTAGTGGTTTTCAATATTCTATAATAAAATGATCTGCAGCAATTGATTTAACAGCAAAACAGGTAAAAAGCTGTCTGCACTCATAAAGCATTACTGTCTGACTGGTGACTTTAACATGTTGGCATTATGTTAAATAATAGTAACAGGCTTCCTTTTCTGAATGCATAAACCTGAGAAAGATATGAGATTCAACAGCTAGCTTTAGTACATGATCCAAACTCTTACTACTTACCTGCCATTCAAGGTCATGAAGACTACCAGTGCTTCTTCTATAACTCTTCATAGCCTGGCTGTCTTACTTCAATACCATAAGGCATTACCCTAGAACAAGTTCATGGATAAAGACTTCTGACTGCACTCTAATTTTCTGGTCTGTATCACTGTTCTGGGTTAGTGACTCAGAAAGTGTAGAAGCATCACAGCATTTTCAGAGGGGTCATAGCAGCCCCTGTGTTTCTCTCATGACAAGCTTACTTCAAACAATAAGCTACTGTATTTTCCACAACACAAAAGTGATTAACAACAGTCTGTACAAAAGTTGTACTTACAGATATAAACCCATACTGAATGACATTAAGTTGCTAAAGTAATGTGTATTATAAACAATTGCCATTTCTTAAATAAAATAGCATTTTCACCTTGTTTCATTCTTTGTTGTATCACAGTGTTGCTGCTACATAGCATACAAGTACTCCATTTATCGTGGTGGGTTTTATGATGGTAGTAACAGTAGACCATACCTAAGTGTGTTGAAACAGAGATGTGTAGTTTCCATCAGAAGCCCCTGTGACAAGGTGACAGCATGGGAGCACTATTAGGAGACAGGGAAAGAATGTTGCCATATAGGAAATGCAAAAACCAGGACTTTCATATCAGGATTTCAGGTATTATTTCAATGAAAACTTTATACTTAAAAATATTGATGATTTTTTTTTTTTTACAATTACTTTAGGATAATGAAACATATGAGATGTTCTCTTATAGGATTGATATACCCTTTAAAGCTCTCACTTTCCTTCTAGTTGAGATAGTTGATCATAATGTAATCTACTCAGCTGCACAGCAAATGTCAGTATAAGTGTCGGGACAAAGTTATATAAGTCAAATTCAGTGAAGAGATATTAGTAGATTTTTATACTAACCTGAAATTCAGTTCAGAGCAGAATTAGGGCCAGTCCAGAAAAATAAATCGTAAGGTAAGTACTAGCAACATATACATATCTTGGTTTGGTAATTCAAAACACTTTTCCTATTTCTCAGATTGTTCCCATAAAAACTAGTTATGGATAAATAACATCTATTCTCATTCAAGTTGGAGCATTTCTGCGATGAACGCTATTAATGTGTATCATTGTAAATCAATATGTGACAAACATTGATCGCTGTCTCCTATCTACTGCTGAATTATTGCCGATCTTTTAGTACTGGCTGTGAATGAGCAGCATTGGAGAGAGTTCCAGCATCCGATTAAAATACAATAAACACCTTTATCTGATATAACAAACCATCAGCTAAACGTGTTATGCTTCTGCTTATAACACAAAATTCATCCTGCAAAGTACAGTGGGGTATAGGAACCGATGTCTTAATATCTTCAACATGGCACAATATATAATTGACATGAACCAGGCATTGTTCTTACAGATAAGTGTATAGAATGTCTTTTTGTTTCTAATATAAATATAGGTGCACAATTGACCTATTCTCTATAATAAATGTAAGACCTATTCCTCCTTTATATGACAGGAAAATATCGCGCCGCTATTTCCCTTTCATATATAAACGTTTTGGTTGTATATACCATTTATAGCTGGCTGTTTGTGGCAGAAATAGTCCGGATTCATCTCCTTTATATTTAACATTAATAACACTATGCACCTGTTGAGGAGAAGAAAGAGGGGAACATGGAGGATTCTACCTATTTGTAAACTTTTTTATCGAGAGTTTTAAGATTCATCAACGAATATGTTCAAATTCTGGAAAATTCGGTTTAAATTAGAGATGGGTGAGACCCCGATCCAAAACTGTCACACTGATACCAATTTTCCTAATTTCTATAAATGGGGAAAAACCAGACTAGCTGTGTGCAGGTCCCACGAATGTCACAGGAAATATCCCAAAGTATGGATATAAGTCATTCAAGATAATCAGAGGACATTGCCCCCGCATTCCACAACACTGCTACAGTTCAATGAGTTAAAATAATAATAATAACAAGTAACAACAACTAAACAATAATACAATTCATAATACAGATAGTAAAGATGGGTGTGTTCCAGTTCTATGTGATTAATAAATAGTGGCCTAACACTGCACTAATGATGGTAAAATGGATCATGCCATGACAGGCTGAGCAATGATCATACCTCTGTATACCAGCGGTGCCAGTACAAGGGAACCCGTCTATAAGAAAATGTGCAATACATCCGTATTGTATTTTCTATCGGTAGGATCCTTCAGGAAAACCACTTTAGCGACAACTGGGAAAGCACTGAACCCAAGATAAGTGATCATGGTGAGGATGTAAGTACATTGAATGTATCACTGGAACGAAATCTGTCCCCAAGGAAAATGTGACAATCTGGAAAAGAAAGAGGGAGAGAGGGAGATAGAGAGGGGGGGGGGGGGGGAAAAAAAAGAGAGAGAGAGAGAGAGAGAGAGAGAGAGGGAGGGAGAGAGAAAGAAAGAACAAGAAAAAAAGCATTTACTGGATAGACAGTTGGGTAGATAAAAGAATAGTAGAAATATTACACACACACACATATGTAACATATATGTTTACAAATTCTTAATACATGTATAATGTAATGTGCCTCCTGCCTGGTGTAATGTGCAGTTGCAGTCACTGTGATGAGTCCCCTATGGATACATATACCATCTATTCTATGCCCATAGTGGGAGGCACAGGTCAGGCTGGGCTCTGCAGTTCTCCTCCCTGGGTCCCTGGCACTTGTGTTTTTTTGGGGCCAGCACTGGGTCTGTGGACTCGCTTGAGTTCAACCCGTGATTGGAGGTTAAAGTGCAGAGGTTTGTCGTGGAAGGAGGAAGCTCTTAAACAATAAAGGCTGGAGTATTCTGTGCGATCAGGTCGCTGCCCTCTCCTTATCTCACTTCACATGCAAATGGTGAGAAGGGGGGCTCTATCAGGGCGCTGACGTCACCTGCCATTGGTGTGCCATTACTAATAGAGCCTTGTACACAGTGCAAGTGGCGGCCAATGGAGTCACTCACATCTCTAGGAGTGTCTGACTAGGAGACTTCCAGGAGCAGAGCTGGGAAGGAGCACAGTGCAGGAGGGCATGAGTGCAGTATGCAGCTAGCTGGCAACGAGTTGCCATCATGTACGTCAGCTACCTTCGAGATAAGGACGTTGGCATGTACCCTGGATCTATGCGAGGCCACCCGGGGCTCCAGAACTACCCCACTGCTCCCCAGTACCCTGACTACGGGGCATACCACGGACTGAGCATAGAGACTGCAGCACCTTCTTCTGGATCCTCACCCTGGCTCACACCCTATGGGCCCCCAAGAGACGATTGGTGCCACACAGCCTATTCAGGACATACTCCCATCAACCCTTCCCCAGGGGGCAGCTTGGGCTACAGCCCAGTGTCTGACTACCCAAGTGGACAAGTGCAAGGGCCACCATGTGTGGGGGTGCTGCCAGCTGGGCATCAGCCTCAAGTCTCTCCAGGGGTGACAGAGGGGCACAGGAGGCACCACTACGAGTGGATGAGAAAACCAACCACACAGATGAACTCTGGTAAGGCACAACTCTGATTTGTCAGCTATGCAATATATATATCTATATATATAGATATACATAGATATATATCTATATAGATATATATAGATATATATAG